CTTCCTGACCTCCCAGTCACTACAATCTTCCTAACATCAGTAAGTCCTTTTCATAGCAAATCTTTCTAATGAATTTCTTACTTATTTCTCTACTCTTTAGTCATAACAAGTCCAATAATGAAAATTTTCAACCAAAGAGATCTAAATTTAAACTTTACTCCTATGTGATCCTGGTCATCTTTATACTCCAATTTTAATCATCTTTAACCTCCAATTTCATTGTCTGTGAAACTGGTGTTAAGTATCTATATCATAACATTTTTGTAGAGTTTTAAGGTGTATGTAAAGTACACAGCACAAGACACTCGACATAGCAGGGACTCAAATCAATGGTAGTTAACACTTTCCTACTTCCTAATGCGTCTGGTATTTTTCTTTTGCTTTTTGCTTTTTTTGGTACTGGGAATCGAACTCGGGATCTTGTGCTTGTGAGGCAGATGGCAGAACCACTGAGCTAACTCCCTGGCCCTGATATTTAATTTTTCAAAATTACTTAAACCTTTATTGTTGAATTACATAGCTGGACCTAGCTAGGGGTGGGAAGAAAATGCTCAGATCCAAGCACGAAAGAGGTGCACAATATTAAGGCAATCATTTTTATTGGTACCTTTGCTTAAAAAACAAAAAGTGTGAGCAGAGCTTCCAATCTTTTCTTCACTACCATCTACTGATTTTATTTCTCTGTTCCTACAGCACGTTTCTTGACTGGAACAACGCATTATAAGCTCGTAAGTTTTTCAAGAACCTGGTTAAGCACTGTAAAACATCTCATCTTTATGTGATATCTATCTTTTTCATGAGGCAAATCTTAGTATCAATAACTCTTCCTTATATAATCTGCTTTTCAAATCCTTCTATACTGGATGGCAGTATTTGGGACTGTCAGTTTCTCAATACCCTGATGAAAGTACCCAAAGTGGATAACCCATCATGTTTCAATTAGCCAGCATGCATATAAAGGACTACTCCTTCACCTACATTACTACAGCAGCTCTTAGTAAATCTTTTACTCATGTAAATTGCTACCAGACTAGGTTTTTAGCACTCTTTTCAGGTTTTTGTTTTGTGTTACTGGGGATCAAACTCAGGAGTGTTCTACCACTGGGTTACATCCCTAGCCCTTTAATTTTTATTTTGAGATAGGGTCTCACTAAGTTGCCCACTCAACCTTGCGGTTCTCCTGTCTCAGCCTCCCTCAGCACTGGCATTACAGTGCTGTGGTGTGCCACTCCAACCAACTTTGTTTCTTTTATTAGGTACTGCGTCCAGCATGAGGTCTTCCTTACTTTAAGAATGTCGTTCTTGGGCCGAGATTTAGCTCAGTGATGCCTCAAGCGCAAGGTCCTGAGTTTGATCCCTGGGAAGAATGTTATTCTTTCACCTAAATCACTCAGTAAAATGTTCAACAAAAGGGATCCAAAGAAAAATTACTGCTTTTTCTAATTTCTTAGTGAACCATCATTCTGCCTTTATGTTCTTACTTCTTCAAAACTAATTTCTGATGGATTTCCCGATTTGTATGACGCACATAAGACCACTTAGTTGTTTATCAAGACTATAAGACTTTTAGAATTAGAAGGGACTTTCCAGGATCATTAGTCCTGCCTAATGATCTCACCACTCTCTTATATAAACAAACAAAAAAAAGGAATTCAGGAAAGTTTAGTTCTATATCCTAGGCCCCAAGGCTAGTAAATGGTTTATTTGGAAGCAGTATAGAACTCTAAAAACTAATTTATTATGTTCTATCTATTACAGGTTTTCATTTAAGCTTTTATATTTCCATCTGTTTGGTTCATCTAAATGAAATATATTATGTTTTATATAAAATACAATTTTGGGGGCCAGGGATTTAGCTGAGTGGTTCCGGCGCCTGCCTCACAAGTGCAAGGTCCCGAGTTGGATCCCCGGTACCAAAAAACAATTTTTGTTTGCAGGGGTATTCTGCCTACAACACAAGGAGCACATATCTTGTTTTCTCTACTTTTTAAATTCATTCTGAGAATAGGGGAATCAATAGCCTGTTCTACTCTAATAAGCTGCTTGGCAAAATAAATATATTGAGGTGATACAGGGAATAAGGGAAGGAATATCTTGGTTATAAATCTCAAATTCTGGCCCTCAGACCACACATGTATTTAAAGATTAACAGCTTCCTAAGACTCAGTAGAGAGAATAATTTTATCATTCCACTGATTAATGATATATTCTGAATCACTGAATCAATAATACCATATATTCTTTTTATATCATTTTGGGTTAATTTACAATTAATATTACTTATGACCATACCTGGATATGAAATCCACTATATTTCTAATAAATAACAACTATTATCTACTTTGGTGCCAGAATGTAAGTTTGGTCAAGAGTTAATATTACTTTTTCTATCTTAATGATTTTTTTACCTGGCTTACAGTAGGCTCTCAATAAAGTGTTGATGAATAAATTAATAAAATCTCTAAAAAAGAAACTAACCCCAAAACTGAAAATGCAGAAACTTTTGAATGTATTAACTCTCCAAAAAGTAAACCAAAGTTACCAGACATTCTGGAGAGATCACTTAGCTACCAAAACTAACTAAAGAAACAAATGAGTCTTTATATTTCAATTAGAACATTCTTTTTCAACAAAGTGCTTATTCCCCTTCTGTTCTTCCTTTTTCCCTAGAATTTCTCAACAGGTTACTTTTTTTCCTGAGGCTACTTGTGCATAAGAGACTTCTACAATAATTCTAATCAAGTTTACTATTATAGGATCATAAAAAGGACATCAGCAGACACAGATTAGGCTCTTGTAAGTATTAGTATTTTACTAGCACTTTTATTATGTTCTCCTATACTCTTTTTATAAAATCCTAGTAGGGCTGCAAATTTAGCTCAGCAGCACAGGGCCTGCCTGGGATGCATGAGGTCCTGAGTTCGATTCCTGGTACCAAAAAAAAAAAATCTAAGTAAAAAGTAGTAAAATGGTATCTTATTAACTCAAAGGTTGAAGATAAAAGAATTTGTTCACCTAATTCTTTTTCTCTAATGTTTTAAATATATATACTGATTTATAGTGTGCTAAATTGAAAGTTAATGAATCTGAATTAATTACATCAAATTCAAAAGATTAATATTCTTTCCCTATTTGTTAAACAATCACATTAAAACCGTTTTAAATGATTTTACTAAGTCAAAACAGCATCTGATATATCAGCAATCATTTAGCTTATATTACATAAACAACATAAAATATCAGCTTATAGTAAACCACCAAGTTCTCTCCACAGCTTCCCTTTAAATTCACAAACTAATTAAAAAACTACAACAAAACTATAGATTTAATAAAAAGAGTAACTTACTGAAAAAGTCTTTAAGGACATCTAACCAATCCATTTTGAATAAAATGTGTTCTCTTTCAAAGTTTGTTAACACTGCACAGGATAATTCCCAGTGAGCTTCCTGGTCTGTTCTGTAACACTGAAACTTCCCACACCCAATCCATGTGACCTGGCCCACACCCAAGCAACAGAGAAGTTTTTCTGAGGCTTTTCTCCAAAACTATTTTTTCCCTAAACTATAAAAGAACCTGTAAAATAAGTAAATCATGACACCCAAAAATGTGACCTTATCATTCACTTATTTTGGAAGAAACAAAGTATATATACTATTAATAGTTAAAAATACATTCACACATTCACCTTTTCTTTGTTTTCTTCCTTCTTAATTTCCAAATGATGTCTGGACTAACACAATCATTGCAAAACAAATCCATTAATTATATGAGCATTTAAATTACTGGGGAGGGGGTAAAGAAATTTTGAGGAAAAAGAAGGCTGACCAATGCAAAAGCTGGATTTTCGTCATTACACAGGATTACTGTAGAGCGCCCTGTAATATAGGTGGTAATAATTGTAACACTGTAACACTTATCAAGTTTCTTAAGACTGATATAGAGATAAAGTTATCTGGGCAGGTAAATGTCATGGTGATTTGATCTATTTAAATTACCTTTAGAACACTAGAAATATCTAGCTCAAAAACATTCTAATACCTTATGGAATTTTTTGAATTACATTATATTTTATGTTTTGCTGTCTTACGATGATTAAAAACATTAATCATGTGTTCTATTGCTGATAAAAAAAAACTAGAATAACAACACTGAACAAGAAATGAAAACTAATAGAAAGCAGTAAGTCAAAATATTTCATACTATATTGTCAATCATGCTACATTGGTCTCTAACTTTCTGAGGAGAAATTTTCTTTAAGTGACAGTATGTCTGCCTGAATACCAAAATTAATTTCTGTCCCTCCCTATTCCTTCCTGTCAACTAAGGAGTGTTTAATTAAAGGGGAGGAAACAGTGTTTCCTTCCTATTAGCTTAGACAAGACCACTGTGAATGAAGTAGGTGCAACTGTCTCTGGCCCTATTGGAAGACCAGTAAAAATTAATCACAAGCAAACAAAATTTATAGTTAGAGGAACAAAGGAGGGGGCAAGAAAAGAGAAAGTAGGAAAGAAATCATGTGGATGCTAATGCACAATAATGATCCATACTTCAAGACTTGTATCAAATAGAAAAATAAAATGATGGTTTCTTTTTAAAGTGAAGTTCAAAATGTTAAGCCATTAGATATTAAAATTTAGCAAAGTACCATGTAAAATAAATTGCCTTGATGCCCAAGGAGGCAATTCTGTGTCTTAACTCACTTTTCCCTTACTAAATTAAAGAGAATTTTCTTCTAAATCTAAACTCCAATAGGCACTCATGATTCAAGGAGCTCCTGCTAGAAGGTGAGAGTTCTGCTCATTAGTACCACTTTATCTTTGAATTTGGGCCTACATGTATAACTCTTCAATATAATCTCTTGGCTTAAACACCTGCTATGAACCAAACTTACACTGCTTACCTGAAATTCCAGTTCTGGCCTTTTCAAGACAATTCTGCTTACACTGCCAGAACTAGGCTTCAGAATCCATTTAAAACAAAAAAATACAAAAGCAACTTACCTAAGGTATCCTTTAGATTTTTTACAATAGATGCTTTTCGAGCACTGTTTTTCCTTTCCACATAGTTAGAAGGCACAAAACCTGTTTTATTCATAGAATTTCTAACTCGCCACCAGGACTTAGAATCATCCAGAAGCCATAATCTCTCATTCTTCTTGATGTCCAGCTCTTGTTCTTGTTGGGCCACATAATCAAATTTGGCTACTACTACCACTTCTTCTGCCATCTTTCAATAGTTTCAGCACTGTAAACACATAGAAAATATTTTTATATAGTTGAGTGGTAGTTTACACGCTTTTCAAAAGACACATCTGGACCTGCGTTTGATCCCTGGTACTAAAAAAAAAGACATACCTAAAAATCTAAGGACACTGCAGGTCGGGGATTTAGCTCAGTGGTTCCAGTGCTTGCTGGGCAAGTGCAAGGTCCTGAGTTCGATCCCCAGTACCAAAAAAAAAAAAAAAATTCTAAGGACACTGTAAGTAAATATAGGGGGAAAATGCACCAAGAAAATACTAATTTTTAAAGATTGGTATTGCTGGGCCGGGGATTTAGCTCAGTGGTTCTGCTGCCTGCCTTGCACGCGCAAGGACCCGAGTTTGATCCCTGGCACCAAAAAAAATATTTGTATTGCTGTATTAATATTACATAAATTAACTTCAAGGCAAAAATCATCACTAGGGTTAAGTTCATTATATAAATGATAAAAAGTTCTCAATATAGTTAAGATCAGAACTTTCATATACCAAATAACAGATACTTTTCTGAGCAATGTTTATCCTTTCTACATAGTTAGAAGGCACAAAACCAAAATAAACAGATTGGTAAGAATCACAAGGATAAAGTGACAAATCCATTATGATACAAGATGATTCTTTTTTTTTTTCAGATAGGCTCTTCTTGTGTAATTCAGGCTGGCCTTAAACTGACTATGCAGCCCAGGTTGGCCTCGAACTCGCAGTAATCCTCCTGCCTCAGCCTCCTGAGTGCTGGGATTATAAGCATGCAACACCATGCCCAGTGCAGAGGATGATTTTTAATGCATTTGTCTCAATAAAAAAGTGGCAAAAATGCTAGTAAGAACTATCACTTATAAGTTTTATCTAACAGATACACAGAATATTAGGTCAAAACATAAGAATATATATGGAACATACACAAAAACTGATTAAATGCCAAGCCATAAAGTCTCAACAACTTTCATGTAACTGGTATACTATAATTATATTCTATAACAATCATAACAAAAAGATAGTTTTTATTTTGTTTTGTTTTTGGTTTTGTTTTTTTGGTACTGGGGATCGAACTTGGGCCCTTGCACTTGGCGAGGCAGGCAGCAAAACCACTGACTGAGAGCTAAATCCCTGGCCCCAAAGATAGTTTCTAAAAACGCATGTTTGCAAAATTCTAAAAATCTCATGAGTCTGAGAAGAAATACAGAATTGTGGAAATAGAAGGAAGAAATAAAAAGACTAACCTTGAAAATGCAGCAAAAGTATTATGTAGAGGCAGACTTTTAGTTTTAAATAGTTATATTAGAAAAGAAGAGCTAAAAACAAGGCTAGGGACTTAGCTGAGTGGCAGTGCACATCCTTAGTGTGTGCAAGGTCCTGGATTTTGTTTTTCGAGATAGGGTCCCCAGCATAAAAAAGAAAAGAAAGAAACAAAAGAACCCTAATTAAGTTAATGAATGAACAATTGTCATAAGCAGTTAGAAAAGCAGATGAATATAAAGAGTAAAAAAGGCAAATTACAAACAAGAGTGGAATATAATGAAACAGGAAACAAAAATATACCAGAAAAGTTCAATAAATGAAAAGGTAGTTCTCTATTAAAATTAATAAAGTTTATATAATTCTAGCAAGTTTGATCAATTAAAAAAAAAAAAAAAAAGGCAGGCACAGTGGAGAGCACCTGTAATCTCACCACTTGGAAGGCTGAGACAGGAGAATCACAATTTCAAGGCCAGCCTGAGCTACATAGGAAGTCTGAGACCAATCTGAGCAATATAGCAAGATTCTATTTCAAAAACAATAAAAACAAAACAATCCCAAAAACCCAAAAAGAAAAAAATTCATTTGAAAGCCATGAATAAAAAGTCACAAATATACTGCAAATTCAAAAGACATAGCAATATTATAAAGTTTTACTTATTTTTATTTGTTTTTTGAGACAAGGTTTCACTATGCAGTTCAAGCAGGGCCTTAAACTATGTAACCCAGGCTGGCCTTGAACTCATGGCAATCCTCAAGCTTCCCAAGTGCAGCGAATACAGGTTTGTGTCACCACACCCGGCTATATTATAATTTTATCAATAAATCTAAAACAAAATGAAATGCATACTAACAGAAAAACTATAAATAAAATGGAATCAATAATTATGAGATCTCATAAAGAAAATACCAGGACCACAAGGTTTTACAGAAAAGTTTTAGTAAATTTCAAGGAACAAAGAATTCTAATTTACATAAGCTATTTTAGAACAAAGAAAAAAATTACAAGCCAATCTCATCCCTGAACCTATATCCATCTTTGCTTTCTGGGGAGAAATTATCTTATATGAACAACTACTCATCACTTAGCATACAAATAAAATGAGCATTTTTTTTGGTACTGGGGCTCAAACTCAGGTCTTTGCACTTGTGAGGCAGGTGGCGGAACCACTGAGCTAAATCCCTGACCCAGCATTTTGTTTCTGATATTAACTAGCAAACTCTTTTATCAACAAAGAAGCATAATTTTTAAATGTCCTTAGGGAAATGCATTTTAATCCAGAATTCAACACCTATTGGCATCCAAAGGTGTAAACAAAGTAGATACATTTTGGGGGGCAGTCAGAGCCTCAAAATTTGTGACATACTGTTTATGTCTTCTGAAAGAATGACTCAAGTATGTACCACAAAATTAATACTACAAAAAAAGATGATGATGTTGTGTCCAAGAAACAATGATGAGCAGCAAAACCAGAAAAAATTATTGGTATACATGGACATTTCTGCTGGAAATTACTTCAAAATAATTTCAGCCAAGTTGAAATAATTACTGGTACATGATGTAAAAAAAAAGTTAACTTTGAGACACTAGAAAGCTAAAAGCAAATGTTTTCCAAAGATACTTGTGCACTCAGATTCCTTCCTGTGTCCCACCACCTCACAAGTGATCCATAAATTTTATGAAATTCAATTCTAGGTCTAAGTGGAGCTAACTCAGAAAATTGATAAACTGGTTTGAAAATTTATCTAGAAAAGTAAACATGTAAAACTGGCAACAAATACTTGGGAAAAAATAAGAATAGGTATACTGACACTGCAGGTTACATTCAGCCATGTTTTCTTTCAGAACAGTATCCCAACTACCCTTTCTTGGTTTTTTTTTTTTTTGGTACCAGGGATTGAACTCAGGTCCTTGCACTTGCGAGGCAGGTGGTGGAACCACTGAGCTAAATCCCTGGTCCCCAACAACACTTTCTACTAGCACCTCTCTATCATTATTTTAGCCACACAACTTAGGGAACTCACCCTGGCTTCAAGGGTAACTCTGGATTAATCTAAGCCCCACCTGCATACTGGAATTACTTACCAAACTTTTAAATGACTCTAACAGCCAGTAATAAGAACCTATATAAGCAGATACAATATTTCCCTTGTTAAATTTAATCCAATTAAGGCCAAAGGAAAGGAAAACATGATGGAGACTTCAGGGAAAAGTGGACTGGCTCTTGGGCAGGGGATAGCTCGGTGGTACTATCGCCTGCCTCGAAAGCGCAAGGTCCTGAGTTCGATCCCCAATACCAAAGGAAAAAAAAAAGTCAACTGGTTCTTATAAAGACAGCTTCAGGATTTTTGACATAGATAGAGATGAGGTAGGGAACTACTGTAGCCCTCTTATTATCAGCAGGAAGATGAAACTGACAAGCAAGGGTAAAGGGGATTGCTAGGAAATGGAACCAGAGTTGTTTAAAAAAAAAAAAAACAGCACCAAAGTCTGCCCTTCACTTTGAACCTCTACTTCCTTGGAGATGTTAAGTTTCTTTATGGTGTAAGTCAGTTTTATTTTGATTTCTGTTATTTTCTACTTAAAGTTTACACTACAGGAAAAGTTATCCCATTGGATATCAAAATGTGCTAAAAAATTCTGAAATAACTTAAAATAATATGATGGTTTGTACAAAAACAAACAGACCAAAAGAATACTGATTGAGATCCAGGAAACACCCACATAGATGTGGTTTTAGAAGTTCTTTTGTCTAATGTATAAACTATGAGCTCAAGTTTAGCCTTTTTACAAGTAGAGTACTATACTTCAAAAGGCACTGGTGACATCGATTTGAATACAAGAGACATTTTGAGGCATATCTCCCCAAATATTTTGATGTCTCACCTGGACCTAATTAAAAAATCAAGTAACTTTTTACAGTGATTTCACTGACAAGTCTTTCCAAACCACATCAATTTAATTTTCACAAAACCAACTCTTTAGCACTATTTTTGATTTTTATATTATTACATAAGTATTAACTAGAAGCAGCCCTCGGAAAAGTCTTACATCCAAAATCCTGTTAAGTAGATTCAATTTAATTGGTAGGAATGGAAAAGTGCCAAGAGTATCAAGTTACTATGCTTCATAACACAAATGGAAGGAGTCAACCAGGCAAGTCTGTTAAGTAACTTCTACTCCATATAAAAATGCAAATATATAAGAATTTCTTCTATGAGGAGTGGCATTTGAAATTACTGAAGAATAAATTATTTAATAACTGCTATTAGGACAACTCGCTATGTAATTGGGAAAAAAACAGTCCTACCTCATTCAACATGCAAAATTTAAAAAAAGAAAAATAAAAGAAACTAGACAGGACTTTCACTTCTGGGAGGACAAAATAGTGGTCCTTTCCCTATTCCTGTAATTACAACTAAAATTCCTAAATATTACATATAAAATAAAAGAAAACTCTGAAAGGTAAAGAGAAGACAGCTAGAGACCCCAGAACTCAAGGAATGATGTAGTAATAGGTCCCTAGATTTTATTTTTGCAAGACTTGAAGGTGAAGGTCAGCAAAATAGACACACAGATGGGCACAGATAAAATAAATAGCCTGTGTGCTCCATAGAATGGGCCCAAAATGAGACTGCGTGGCAAGAGAGAAATCTTTAGACAATAATTATTCTAACTCCATTCAAACACCACAGAAAAAGTTGTGCCCTCACCTACACCAGCAATGTCCAAGTGGGAAACCTAGACTTCTAACACTCCAGAGGAGACTAGAGACATTCTAATTTTTCTGGTGAGTGAAGTAAGCCCAAAGAGCCCGAGCCAGACAGAAAAGAGCTAGACAGAAAATCAGTAAAGATGTCAAAGACCTCAACAACATACTCAACAAACAGAATCTAATCAACATATATAGAACAATCTACCAAAAAAGAGCAGAATATACATGATTTCCAAGCATCCAGTGAACAAATACCAACATAAATCAGAGAACGGGCCATAAAATAAACCTCAACAAATTTAACTAAATTGAATCATACAGTGTGTCCTCCAACCACAATGGAATCAAACTAGAAATCTGTAATAGAAAGTACTATGGTCTGGATATAGTCTGTCCCTCTCAAAGGTTCATGTATTGAATACTTAGTCCCCACACAGAATGGTAGAAAGTCTTTGCCAAGTACAGAACTCAAAACACAGCACAGAAAGAACAAATAATCCAAGCCAGGAGTGGTGGTACACTCTGGTAATCCTAGCACTTGGAGGCTGAGGCAGGAGGATCGCCACAAATTAAGAGGCCAGGCTAAGCTACACTGAGTTTAAGGCCAGCCTGAACTCCACAGTGAGACTCTGTCTCAAAAAACAAAACAAAACAAAAAACCTCCAATTAATAAATAGGCAAATGAACTTAACAGACACTTCTCAAGAGAAATGCAAGTGGCCAAGTATATAAAAAAGTTTAACATCTTTAGCTATCAGGGAAATATACACCAAAATTACACTGAGATTCCATCTCACCCTAGTCAGAATGGCAATCATCAAAAATTAAAAAAAAAAATGGTGAGAATGCTGGGGGGAAGAACACTTATGCACTGTTTGTGGAATGTAAATTAGTTTGGCCACTATTAAAATCAGTATGGATGTTTGTCAAAAGATTAAAATAGAATTACCGTATGATCCAGCTATACGACTCCTTGGCATATAAATGAAGAAATTAATAGCAGCATACCTGCAATCCCATGTTTATCACAGCACAGTTCATAACAGCCAAGTTATGGAATCAGTCTAGAAGCCTGTCAATGGATGAATGGATAAGAAAATGTAAATACTGTTATGTGTATAATGGAGAATTATTCAGCCACAAAGAATAAAATCACATCATTTATAGGAAAATGGATAGAATCAGAGATCATCATACCAAGCAAAATAAGCCACATTCAGAAATACAAGTATCTGAAATTTTGGAGAAAAAAAGATAAACATGAATATGAAAGGAAGACTACACAAGTCCCTGACTTAGGAATGAGTTCCATTTCAGGAGAATATTTGTAAGTCGGATCTGTTCATAAATCCGACTGAGTACTACACTTTTAACACAAATATACAGTCCAGCGGTCAGGATTTAGCTCAGTGGCACCATGCCTGCCTGGCAAGCTCAAGGTCCTGAGTTTAACTCCTGGTTAAACAAACAAATATACAGTACAATGTATATTGCTTTGTGCCTCCTACTAGCAGTCCCCTTCACGTCACCACTACCTTTCTTCTTGCTTCTGGACATCCTGGGCTCTGACTGAGCACTGTATGACTGTACACTATTGCACTATACAGCATCAGAACTGTGACAATGTCCAGCAGACACATGAGCTACTTCCTCGATTTCTTATTATCTACGAATGCTTGTAATGGGAGGTCCGTTCCTATCTGTGAAAGTTCGCAACCTGAATGTTTAAGTTGGGGATTTACTGTCCTGAATGAGAGAAAGGGAACTGGCAGAAAAAATAGGGAAAGGTAAGGGAGAATAACAAGAGGTCTGGATATCATCAAAGTTACATGAATGTATGAAAATGCCACAATAAAACCCAATATTTGGTATAATTAAAATGCACTAATAAAAACATATATTGTGAGGGGGGAAAAAAAATTAATGGAGCAACTAGTTCTTTTAAAAGATAAATAAGATTGACAAAGTTTTAGCAAGAAATAAAAAGCCAAAGTAACAAATTAAAAATGATGAAAGAATATGAGAAAAGGAAAAAATGGAAATAAAGTCTTTGTAAATAGGGAAGGGTAGAGGGGGTGAAGGGAGGGCTAGAAATGGGAAAAAAATAAGAACCAAGATACATCATGTAAAGGTACAAGATCCCAATGATGAACGTAAGTGTATTGTATACCTAAAATGTACCAATAAACTTAATGGAAAAAAAAATGATATAAGAGCTATCACTATAAACTCTAAAGGATAATAAGGAAACAACACAAACAACTCTACCAACTCACATTTGAAAATTCAGAGAAGCCTGACCAATTCTACAAAAACAGAAATTACCTTAACACATGCAGTTATGAATATTACTTGAATAACCTTCTAACTATTAATAACATTAAATTCATATTATAAAAATACCCTCCAAAAAGGTGTTCTGCCATTCCAGATACTTGTAACTGAAGAATTCTACCAAGTATTTAAAAAATTATATCAAATTCTACACAATTTCTAACAACCAGAAGTGGAGAAAAACCTTTTCCAATTAATCTTGGATGTTAGTATTAACCTAATGTCAAAATATAAAGATAGTACAAGAAAAGAAATTACTAATATCCGTTAGATATATAGACGCAAAATTTCTTTTTTTTTTTGTACCGGGGATCAAACTCGGAACCTTGCGCTTGTGAGGCAGGTGGCAGAACCACTGAGCTAAATCCCCGGTCCAGATGCAAAAATTGTTAATAAAATAGCAAATTAAATTCAGCAGTATGTAGATATTTAACACTCCATAACTAAGTGTGGATTTTTTTCAGGGATGCAAACCTAGTTCAGTATTTAAAGATTAACCTAATCCATAATATTAACAAGCTAATTTATAAAAATGAGCGCACTAACTGGTATCTGAAAAAAATTCAGCACCAATTCATGATAAAAACTCTCTGAAAAATAGGAACAAAAGGGAAATTTCTCATCTTGATCAACAGCACATACAAAAAACCTGTAACATCATATTTAATGGTGAGAGAGTATTTTTATTTTCTCCTAAAATGAGAAAGGATGTTCATTCCCACCACTCTCATTCCCACCACTATGATTAGTGCTAGAAGTTCTATTCCATTCAGTAAGAGAAGAAAAAAAAATAAGGCTGGGCATGGTGATACATGCCTATAATTCCAGTACTCTGGGAGGCTGAGGCAGGAAGATCAAGAGTCCAGACTGGGCAATTCAGTGCCATAATGAGATCTAGTCTGAAAATTTTAAAAGAAATTTTAAAGAGGCAGGGATGTAGATTAGTGCAAAAGCCTTGAGGGGAGGGTTTAATCAAAGAGGTGGGAGAGTAAAGGGTATAGACTAAAAAGGAAAAAATAAAAATCATCCTTATTTGTAGATAGTATGACTGACAACATAAAAGATTCCAAAAAATCTACCTAAACAAAAGCACAACTCTTAGTACTATTAAAATAATCATTAACCAGGAAGCCCTCAGACAGATGGCCTTAAAGCGCCAAGTACCTATGTAAGTAAAAGGAAATCTAATTCAGAATGTGTTTTGTTTGGTTGTTTTTTTTGGTTTTTTTTGTACCAGGGATTGAACTCAGGACCTTGAATTTGCAAGACAGGTGCAGTGCCACTGAGCTAAATAAATCCCTGGCCCTCTGACTCAGAATTTAAACGAAAATGAAACAAGCTCAACCAATCATAGCCAGCAAATGGGGTATTAGTTATCTGGCCTTGAGTTTCCCACTGGGATGATCCAAATTACATGTTAAAATTTCAACCAATTCTTTTTTTTTTTAAAGAGAGGGAGGGGGAGAGAAAGAGAGGGAGGGAGAAAGGGAGGGAGAGGGGAAGGGGAGGGGGAGCAGGGAGAAAGGGAGAGGGAGGGAAAGGGGGAGAGGGGAAGGGAAGGAGAGTGAGGAGGGAGGGGGGAAGGAGAGAGAGAGGGAGAGAGAAAGAAACGCCTACAAGGACCAAGCTTCAACACATGGACCTGTGGGAGACATTCAAGATCCAAATTATACGTGTACTTAACAAATAGATCCAAACTTTAAAGTTTACTCTGGGAATTTCCAATATAAACAAAAGTAGAGAATACTAGTACAATGAATCCTAACCAACTTTAACGATCAATATTACGCCTTTGTGGTTCACACATATTCCTTCAACTTCTGATGGGAGAAATGAAATCCTACTGTTTTAATTATAAAGACTGACAGACAATAGCCCTCAAAAATTATCAACAGGGGGCCACGGATTTAGCTCAGTGGTTCTGCCACCTGCCTCCCAAGCACAAGGACCTGAGTTCGATCCCTCATACCAGAAAAAAAAACAACAAAAAAACCCACACACACACAAAAATTATCAACAAATAAGGATTCTCAACCTGCTTTTTGCCATGGGCTCTTGGTTCTTTTTGGCAATCTGATGAAACCTGTAACTCCTTGTCATAGTGTTTTAAAATATATACAAACATATAAGTTTACAAATAAAATCTGTTATACTGAAATTCATTTATAGATAGATATAGACATCTTTGTGGTGCTGGGAATCAAACCCAGGGGCCTCATGTACTATTAGGTGAACACTATACAACTAAGCTACACTCCAAGTTTGTCTTCCTCTTTTTTTTTTTTGGTATCCGGGATAGAACTTGGGACCTTGCACTTGCAAGGCAGGTGGCGGAACCACTGAGCTAAATCCCCGGCCCCTCCAAGTTTGTGAAAGTATTTTTAAAAAATTTATTTCTTTATTAAAGTTAAGAACACTAGCAAAATTTCTTTCATTTCAAAAATCTTTTTTATACCTAGTATGAACAAGGTTGTTCAAACTAAGTTTGCAAATTACATTTTTTGGCTATGTTTTCAGTCTGTTCAAATCTATAACACTATTCTTTCCCCACTCTTCCATGTCATTTATTTGACACATAGTGTGTCTCACTTTATGGATTTGGCTGGTGTATATCCTCATGATAGTCCTTGATCTCCCCTTTCTCTAGTAAACTGATAATTATTTCTAGATGCTTAAATTCTCTCCCAAGTTCTTTTGTTGTTGCCTGTTAAAAGAAGACAAGTGTTGCCTGCTGTGCAAGCGCAGGGACCTGAGTTCGATCCCCAGTACCAAAAAAAAAAAAAAAGGGCTATAAAAGAAGACAAGTATTCTTGAGTACTTATTGACATATACTAGGAGACACGTTATGACTGAACCTTTTGCAGTTGAGACTAATGGAAGATTTAGTAATATTGAGCTAATCAATTATAAAATTCCCCATCAAATCTTCACTTTGAAAATAGAACAGGAGGGAAGGGAGGGGGAAAGAAAAAGGATCTAGATGCCATACACAAATAATAAATTTAAGAAAACAAGTCAAATGGGAGCACTTAAAAACAACAAACCTTCACCTAATGGTTTTATCGGCCATCAATGATCATTGTCTGAATCTATTACTGCCAAAATAATAATTTGTTAGCTCTACCTGCTTTCAGAAACTGATTTTTCTAGAAAGAACTTTGGCTAATGATTTAATTATGCTAGTATACAACTACAGAATATATGTTCCTATGTGGTTTTGACAGTTTGGCTACAGTTAGGTTTGTTTCCAGTTTGGGCATTTATAAAATGTAATTGTTTCATAATTAGGTAAAGTATTTAGATAGTTCTAAAACTATCAAACAAGGTATATTCAGAGAGTTCTGCTTCTACTGGGCATGGTGGCACATACCTGTAAACCTAGCACTCTGGAAGGCTGAGGCAAGAGGATTGCAAGTTCAAGCCCAGCCTGGGGAACTTAGGGAGACCCTGTCTCAAAAAAGAGCTGGGAGGGGCCGGGGATTTAGCTCAGTGGTTCTGGCACCTGCCTCGAAAGTACAAACAAGGTCCTGAGTTCGATCCCCCCTACCAAAAAAAAAAAGGGCTGGGGATGTAGCTCAGTGCAAAGGTCCTGAGTTCAATCCCCAGTATTGCAAATGAAACAAGAGTTTTGCTTTCCCTCCGCTCTCCAATACAATCATTTTGAATTGTATTGTTTTATATTTCTATTGTTTCTTTTTTGAATATTTAAGAAAAGTACACAAGGGCTGGGGATTTAGCTCAGTGGTTTTGCCGCCTGCTGTGTAAGTGCAAGGACCTGAGTTCAATCCCAGGTACCAAAAAAAAAAAAAGAAAAGTACACAAGAAAATACATAAATTAGAAATTCTAATTTTCATCTCCCCCACAATACATACATACATATACAGGAGCAAACTATATACATTGTCTGAACCTTCCTTCTACAGTTTAACAATTTATCTTGAAGATTATGCCACAGATTAATTTACTAATATAACTACAATTTCTAACAACTGCACCATACTTCATTATTATAGAAGTATTGGTTTCTTCAACTAGACCTTAATGAGTTGTTTCCAGTTTTCTGGCACTAAACAGTGCTGCAATTAATAGACTCATATATACACCCTTTTGTTTTTCTACTAGTGTACCTTTGGGTTAATCACAAAAAAATGCTGAGTTGAAGATTTAAGGTTTACATAATTTTATGAGAGACTGCCAAATTTCCTATTCATAGAATCTTTATTCTTTGTACTCCGAACAATGTATCAGTGATTATTTTTTCACAATCTTTTCACTCTTTTGCATTTTTGCCAACCTGATAGGTGAGAAATGGTATTTGAGTAGTTTTTATTTGTACATTCATTACAGTGAGACTAAACACAATTTCCCCTACTTAAAGGATATTTGCATTTGCCTTACTGTGTAAAACTTTTACTCATATCTTCTGCCCATTTTTCTGAAGGTTTATTTTTCAAGAGCCTATTATAGAATAAAGTATCTGCCCTTTCTCATATCTGCTGTAAAAATTTTTCCCAGTTTGCTGTTTGTCTTCAACTTATATTTTTTAGGTACAAATTTTTGGGGGGTACTGGGGATCGAACTCAGGACCTTGCGCTTGCGAGGCAGGCGCTGGAACCACTGAGCTAAATCCCCAGCCCTAGATACAAATTTTTGAAGAACAATTTGACAGTAGTTACATTAGCTTTCACTGTGACAAAAATATCTGAAATAAAACAGCTTTAATGAGGAAACATTTATTTTGGCTCATTTTCAGAGTTTTCAGTCATGGTTGGCCAGTTCCGCTGCTATGGGCCTATGGTGAGGCAGAGTATCATGGCTGAGCAGGCATAGTACAGTAGAGCTGCTCACCTCATGGAGATGGTCATGAAGCAGAGAAAGACAGCCAGAGAGCCCAAGAAGAAGAGTCCAGGGACAAGATACAGTTCTAAGAGCACACCCCCCATTACTCACTCCCTTCAACTAGGTATCCACCTCCTAAGTCTCCATTACATCCCAATGATGCTATCAAATTACAAATCCATCAATGGATTAATCCACAGATGACATGAGAGCCCTCATGATCTAATCACCTTCCAAAAGTATTACCTGTGAACACATGAGCCTTCTGAGAGAAATTTTAGATCCAAACCATAATAGCCATCAAAATCTCAAATGTGTACTTTTTTCTCTTTTTTCAAATAATGCCAGAATGGAAACATTTGTTAACAGTGTAAGGACGGGATAAATAAATTATAGCATAGATATATACAAATATTATACAGCAATTAAAATACATGAACAATACAGCTATATCCAAAAGCAGGTATAAATTTGGCATACATAGCACTGAATGAATGAAGACATAACAGGCATGGGGTAGGATTCCATTTATAAAAAATTCCAAAGTAGGTGAAACTAGTGTACTACACTTTGAATGAAGATAAGGTTATTCTTGGGGAAAGAGGAGATGATAGTGATTTGAAGAAGGTACTGACCACATGATTTTGCCATATTAGTAATGTTAAAGATGCCCAAATGATTTGTTGAGACTAATCATTCCTGAATAAAGCCCTTAGTTACCTAAGAACGAAACTGTATTTTCTTAATACAATAAAATTTATCTCAGTCAACAGTACTTCTGTGAAAGTGTTCCCAAAAGAAATTCAAAGGTTATCTGAGATTTTCTAACCAATGGAATCCAGATCAAATTCATTCTATTTTAATCTAGCACAGACTGGTTCAAATGGATGAAACCATTAGTTTTCTCTATGCAACCTCAGACTGAATTGGTCCAAATTTTATTTTCACAGAAACTGTCAATTTAACATCTGACCTTCTACGTTGAGACTATTATTTTCTTTTTACAGATAAAGAATAGCACAGATAGATAATGTGGGATTTAAAAAACAAACAAGAATAATGGCTTTGACATCAGACTGCTCAGCTCTGTCATCTACTCTGAATCTGGACACATTCTTCATCTCTTCTAAACATCTTCTCAAAAGGGATGTCTCAGTTACTTTCTCTTTGCTGAGATACTATACTCAACACCCATAACTGTAAGGAGAAAAGGTTTATTTTGGCTCACAGTTTGTAGAGGTTTGAGTCCACAGTCAGCTTGCTCCAAGGCAGAGAATAATGATAGAGGAGAATTGCTTATGACCTGGCAGCGGGAAGCAGAATGAGAGCTTAGAGAGGAGTGAGGAAGAGATGGACCCAGACCATACCCCTAGCAACCCATCTTCTCCTACCAGGCTTCGCCACCCAACATCACATTTAGCTATAAATCCATCAGTGAACTAATCTCCACCGACCAGTATCCTGCCTCCATGATCCAATCACCTCCCAAAAGCCCCACCCATGAGCACATGGGCTTTGGAAGGACAACAAGATATAAACCATAACATTCCGTCCCTGGCCCCTAAGACTCATTCACATCCCTTTTTGCAAAATGAATTTAGTCCATCACCAAGAGTTGCCCAAGTCTTAACAACTTCAGCACTGCTGAAAAGTCCAAATTCAGTTTCTGAATTTCAGTCTCTGAAATTTAAGGCAAACTCTTAGCTGCAAACCTCTGTAAAAATGAAAAGCTTAAACACTTTCAATATACAATGGCACAGGATAAACATCCCCAATACAAATGGTAGAAATAGGAGGATAGAAAGGAGTGGGACCAAATCAAGACCAAAATCCAGTAGGGCAAAAACTAAATCCCATAGTTCCACATCCAGCACCCAGGGCAACCTGTGGCAAGATGCAAACTCCCAAGTTGGGCAGCCTAACCCCTCTAGCATTGCTGGTGGCTTCTCTTGTGACAGCTTTGCACACTCCTTAAAGCTCTCCTTAGTCTTTCCATGTTCCTGGCTTTTCCAACATCCTAGAGTTTACACTGCACTGGCTTCACCCTCCCAGCTTCAAGAACTGCCTTCTCGGAGGCTGGAGATTTAGCTCAGTGGTTCCCGTGCCTGCCTCGCAAGTGCAAGCGCAAGCCCAAGGTCCTGAGTTTGATCCCCAGTACCAAAAACAAAAAACAAAACAAAAAAAACTGCCTTCTCAGGAGCACAATGCCTTCTGAAATCTGGTTGGAAGCCTCCCTGACCTTGCATTAAGGCTTGTGACTAGATGATCACACCCCAAAAAGCCTTATGCAGTCATAGGTGGGGCTTTTTCAGAGATAGCTAGATCTAGATTATGTGATGCTGGCATTAAGGGTGTGTGATTACTAAATTAGTCCACTGATTGGTCTGGCATAGTTCTCAATGTGGATAATGGGAAGGTCTACTCTGGGTGTGAGTGCTACCCGCCCTAAAAACACGTAGCCTGGATATACTATAAGGGACTATAAGGCACAGAAAGAGGGCTGCTGTGATTGCTTGCTACCTTCCTGCCTTCTGCCTGCCATAAGCTGTTTCTCCTCTGCAATGCCCCTCTGCCATGCCACCCTGCTTTGGAGGCAGCCAACTGTGAACTAAAACCCCTACTGTGAGCTACAGAAACCTTTCCTCTTTTAACTTTGGGTGATGGGTATTTTGTCTCAGCAATGAGGAAAGTAACTAAGACACCCCACAACTCTTGCATTCTGAATGCCTATGAAGTCAGTACCACGTGGATGATGCCAAGGTCTGCCAACAGTTGGAACAGTAGCTAGGCTTCCTTCTATCTTGGCTAGAGGTCAAGCACCTAGATGGCTGTGTGGTATGCACTGAATGCAGAGGAACAAATTCCCAAGGTGGCCACCATTCTGGAACATGGTGCCCTGAGGCTCTCTTCTCAAAGTAAAGACTTTCACCTTTGCAATTTTGAGCATGGAAAAGGTGGAGCCTTGCTCATCACATTCCTTCAAAACATTTTTCCTACTGTCCTGAACCTGTACCAAAGTACTTAACTTCTTTTTAATGTAAACCTTCCCAGCAAACCAAGTTCTCCTCTACTCCATCTTTGCAGGCCCTAACTTTAAACTTTTAAAATCATTCAGCTGTGCCTTTTGGTCTTGATTCTCAAAATAGAGACTGGCTAAAAGCCCCAAACAGTAGCCATACCACCATCTCAACAGCAGACTGCCTTAAAATGTCTTCCACCAGATTGATTATAGTCTACCACCCTGATCTCAGTATCCTAGTCTCAAAACAGGAGCAAAATGTAGACAAATTTTCTGCCAAACACACACAAATTTTCTCCACACACATGGCTTGGAGTCCACCAGCCAATGCAATTCTTGTTCCCAACTGAAACCTCCTGAGCCTGGTCTTTGTTGGCTGCATTTTTATCAGCATTCTGAGCTCTGACCACATCTCCCATCAAGCTCAGCTTACACTATTTTAGGGCTGCTTCTCCAACATCTTCAAACCTTCCCAAACTCCTTCCATAAGCCACTGTCAAAGGATTCTGAACCATATGGTCAGGTAGCATCACAACTATGACTCCATTTGTCTGGTATCAAATTTGTAATTATTTTCTCATCATATTTTGGCTCAAAGTCTATAGAGGTTTTAGTCCATAGCTGGTTGGCACCAACGCAAGGCAGCATGACAGATGGGCATGGCACAGAAGGCTTACTCATGGCATGGCAGTGAGGAAGTGTGTGGGGGGTGTCAAATGTGTATTTTCTTGAACCAACAATCTATATTCTACAGGAAAAAAAGTATGCAAGCACTCAAAATCCATATATAAATGTTTGCTGGAACACTGCTAGTAATTATTTAAAAATTAGAAACAAAATGTATACTAAGAGTGTCTAAATTTTAAACACTGGTTGAGGATACCTTTTCTTAAATGCTTCAAACCAGAAAAGTATCCAATTTTGGATTTTGGTGTGATAGCCAACCTGACTCCATTTGTGTAAAGTCAAGTGATTCTGGGTGGTCACCTCCCTCTTTCCCCTTTGGGAGTCCCCTCAGTTAATGCATGACAGACACAGCATCCTGCAATCGGCAACTGTATGTTATCGTTACACCTTCCCATTTGGTACAGCAATCTGCAACTATATGTTGTCTTTACAACTTTGTAAACAGGATACTCCAGCACCTGTGATACTTTGTTTCAACTAAACTGTGTGAAACTTCCCCTGATCCCCACTAATTTAACAAAGTTCTGCTCCTGTGAAACGCCACTTGAGCTCCCCCTCTCCCAGAGCCCTCACCAATTAGAAGAGCCACTTAAAAGAACCCCTGCAAGCTGCGTTTCCTCGTGGAGACCTTTCAGGTGTAAGCCACTTTTGAACACCGGCAATAAAGGACTCAAATTTGGCTCAGGATGGTGGTAATTCTCTATAATCTCTTGCTTAAAATTAAGTACAACATTGGAATATTCATATATATAAAATGAGATACCTTGGGGATGGGATCCAAACCTAAAAAATAAATTCATTTGTTTCACAGACACTATACACATAGCCCAAAGGTAATTTTATATTATATTTTTAGTGTGCCTGCATTTTGAATATAACCCATCACATGAGGTAAAGTATGGAATCTTCCATTTATAGCATCATGTCAGCACTCAAAAAGTTTCAAATTTTGGAACATTTCAGATTTGAAATTTTCAGATTAGGAATGCTCAATCTGTACTGGTATGATAAAAAAATCCTGTTTTCATATATGCATTTAAAGGACTGGAAGGATATACATCAAACTATAGACAGTGGTAGCCTTGGTAAGTGATAAATTGCTATGACTTTCACTTCCTTTTCCATAGATAATGTGTGGTTTTAATATTTCACAATAGGTACATATTACTTAATTCTTCTAAAACATTCAATTAAAAGAAAACCAACTAACTTGAAAGCTAACTAATACTCAGTAGCACCAAAAAAACAAGGTACAGGTAAGGAAACATGGAGGAGAAAGGTAAAACAAATGTGAGAGAATAAGCTGGTATGGCTACATTTACAGAAGCTACATTTACAGTAGAACCTAAATCTAGTATATAAAAAAGAAAAACTTTAATAATTTAACTTTCCCTTTAACGGTCATTTCTTCAGTAATGCACCAGGTAAAAGTGTTAATTGAGGGGTTAACTCTTTACAGCCTGCTTTGGGCATAATCAATACCATGGTCCCCTGAAATAACCTGACATCAAGTGCTGGGTTTCCCTTAGAGAATCTGAACAGCCTACTGTGATCCCTATACCTGCACTGTCATAATTACATCAGCATTGTGGACTTCAGACTTAACCCCAGTCCCAGGTTACAGTACTCACATCCTGCTCACCTTTTCTTCCTGGGCTTATTTCCTGACTTCTTTGTTTTTCAAGTGTACTTCAAATGTCATTTCAAACTGGATCTTTGCACAATTCTGACCATTTTCTTTGCCTTTCCTGATCTGGCTGCCACAAAAACAGGATCTAAGTTCAAATTAAAAAACTACATCACTTCAAGATGTCTCCAAGGACAACATGGAATTTTCTGTTCTAGAGATCTTCATAAATACATTCTCTATGAATGCGCAAGGGGCAGATTAAGTCAGAGAACACCTACTTGTTTAATTCAGAGGTCTGCATCCTCTCACAGACTGTCAAAATATATAATCCTAAACAAGGAATGTTTATTGAATGCCCATAATCTAGGTTACTGTCTTAGTATTTCCCTCACAGTAATTCTTTAAAGCACTATCCTCATTTTACAAAGTATGACTTAGAGGTTAAGAAGTTAAATGGCTTTTCAATCTTGGAAAACAACTGGTGGAAACTGGAAGTCAAATGTATGTACTTCACTTCCCCATGTACTCTGAATTACTATTTTGCCTCTAAAAAAACAGAAAAGTACATACAAATTTACTAAATTAGTGATCTCAGACATTCTGGTTTCACCCTTTAACAACACTTAGAAATTACTGAGGACCCCAGAGAGGAGGTGATTATGTAGGTTCTATCAATATTTACCATTACTCAGGAATTAAAACAGTAAACCTAAGAATATATAGGAATTAAATTACAAATATTTAATCCAATGCATTTTAATGTTTTTATGAAAATAATTATGTTTTCTAAAAGACAATGATGAGCGCAAAGAACTGAAAGCTGGAGATTAAGGCATGGCCAGACAGCTGGGCAAGTGGATGTGACTTGTCAGTCACAGAGATCCAGGAGACATGTGCCCAAGCCCTGCATCTGGAACCACTCAGAAAGTGCTATCTTTAATTCTTCTAGTAAGAACTCAAGCAGGTTTTTGATAGGTGGACCTAGACCTGACATGGGAGATACAAAAGACTGCTATTAAACTGGTAACTATTGTTACCTCTTTCAGTGGCCCACTCCACAGGACATAGCTCCTTTTCTGAGAGCGTATTTTTTTCCCTACCTTTAATACTTTTAATAAATATAAAACCTCACTACCCTTTTTTTTCTGGTACCAGGAATCAAACTCAAGACCTTGCTCTTGCCAGGCAGGCATGGGGCCACTGAGCTAAATCCCCAGCCCTCACTACCTTTTTCCCTTGTCTTGACCAATTCATTGTTCAGGAGAAAGAATCTGGAAAGCACCTCTAGGAGACTCCAGAACCACAGCCTGGTAATGAATGACATTCAATTTCTGCACATCTTTTACATGTCTGATTTAATTCAAACCAGGAAGATTCTTATACCTGTTCCTACATTTAATGTGCTGCAGTATGTTCTGGTTTAAGTATATGAAGAAAACTTGATCTTACACAGACAGGTAGTTGAAAAAAAAAAGTATTTTAAAAGTATTTTTGGATAATTATGGATTTTTTTTCCTTTTAGTTACTACACCAAAACGTTAAGTTGGGGCTTCCTGGTTCTGAGGGAGGATAGAAGAAATGGAGATAGGTAGAAAGAAGACAAGGAAAATCAGAATTTTGGAATTGTATTTTTGGGGAAACTGCAGCTTCAGGTCAAGAAAGTTACTTAAGCCTTTTTCCTTTCCAAGAACCACCCCCCCCCAAAAAAAAATCCCTAAAGATTTTAAAGACAAAATAAGCCTGTAAATTGGGCTTTTCACCTGTAAATTACATTTTTTGCCATAGACCTCTACCTCTATCCTCCTATCCTCAAGGAAGCAGCAATATAGGTGAGCAGTTTATCTCAACTTCATGTAAGTTTACATTCTGACATAGCCCAGCAGATGGGTAGCATGACAGTAAGGGTACACATCTTAGATCACCCATCTTGAAGATGTCTCCAAGCCCCATAGAGATACCCAGCTCCAAATCATAAGGCACACCTCTCTCGAGGGCCCAAACTATTTCTTTCAGTGGCTACTTTTAAAATTTGTCTATTCTCACATCCCTCACACACAAAACAGAAAAAGAAATACATAAATCTCGTATTTTCACAATTTTGATTTCTTTTTTTTTTTGGTACTGGGAATCAAACTCTTGGACCTTGAGCTTGCAAGGCAGGCAGTGGCACCTCTGAGCTAAATCCCCAGCCTGCAATTTTGATTTCTAAACATAGCTCAAAACAAACTTTCACACAATCCAAGGTAACATAAACATAGATATTTACTATGCTATTGTTTGATGTAACTGAAACTAATCTAAATATCCTTCAATTGGGGGATGAATAATAATTCTGATGCATGCAAGTTTATGGTAGACTTGATATCATTTTGAAAATGGCAGACTTGAATATGATTATGATATAATTATGTTTATAATCTTGACACATCTGTATAGCACTCATTGGTCTGAAAACAAATAGAACTTAAAGTGAGAGGAATGAAATAAGTTTTGGAATTACAGTTTTGTTTTGTTTTTTTTGGTACCAGAGATCGAACTTGGGTCCTTGCGCTTGCGCAGCAAGCAGTGAAACTTGGAGCTAAATCCCCGGCCCCTGGCATTACAGTTTTTTAATATATATATTCTTTTCCTTTTTTTGGTACCAGAGATTGAACTCGGGACCTTGCATTTGCAAGGCAGGTGGCAGAACCACTGAGCTAAATCCCCAGCCCTATATTATTTTCTTTTTTACACCAGATAGAAAATGAAAACCAAGAAATGATACTATAGTTTTCTTTCTATACACAGGTATAGTATATACATGTGTTTTAGAGGTTTAAATCCATGGACTGGAAGAATATATACCAAAGTTATGATTGTGCCTGCCTCTGTAAGTGCAAAGCTGGGCAAGAGAATACAGGCTGTAATCCTGTTATAATGTTAGCTTAAATTCTGAATTAAAAATGAAAATATTGTTTAATTCTCAAAAAAAATTAAGATTTATTATGTATACATATCCACTCCCCATGATGAATATAATCATTATACACTTCAAACATGTACAGTGCTAATAAAAATTGTAAAAAATTTGTCTAATCCCTTTGCCTCTTACTGACATGTCCCAAAAATTCTATTTCCATGATAGGAGTCCGTGAACCTGCAATTTAATTCTGAAGGTAGGGTAGGTTTAGGAACCTCCTAAAAACCTCTCCACAGTGACAGCTGTTTGATTTTGGGGATGGCATAGTTCAAACCCAAGGCCTCACATATACTAGGCACAGGTAGTTTCGTAAATATCAGTTTCCAGAGTGAAACCCAAAACTACCGATGAACCTCTTGTACTGTTTTGTTAGGACTCACTGGCAGCCGGGCATAGAGACACACACCTATAATTCCAGCACTTGGGAGACTGAAGCAGGAGGATCACCACAAGTTCAAGGCCAGCCTGGACTACATAGTGAGACCCTATATCCAAAAAAAAAAAAAAAAATCACTAACTGAAGTATTTTTATTTCCAGAGAAGATAAAAATAAATCCACTGCACTTAATTGTTTACAGTTAAAATCTCCAGAAAAAAATACGAAGAACAGCCACTGAAGATTCCGAAAAAAAAGTAAATTAACAGCAAGCAGGTTGGGGAGAGAAATCAATTTGAAAAAAGACCAATATAGCAGCAATACATTTCCTTATGATTCCCTCTACCACCACCATTACCATTACCATTACCACCATCACCACTACCACACTTTTATTTCCTGGCTTTGACCAGAAAACAGGTGGGCAGAATAGAGAACTGTATAGTAGGTCCAGTCAGAAGAAAAATAAATTTAACATGCTCCTTAAGAGGAGCATATTTGCCCAAAATATGGGGGGAAAAGGCTCTTAAAAGCCAGAGGGTACTTGTGTTAAATCCCTGGAGCTTTCCTTCCCTTTCCCTTCCCTTTCCTTTTCTTCCCTTTCCCTTCCTTTCCCCTTTTCCTTCCCCTCCCTTTCTCCTCCATTCCCCTTCCCCTTCCTTTCCTTTCCCAGCCTTGTCCCAGGAAAGGATTTACTCTGCTGTCACAATGACAGAAGATGGCACATATGTTATTAAGACCTCAAGAGAAAAACTTGTTCCTCTGGATAAATGAAGAACAAATTGAGACTGAGTGGTAGCAAAAGGAGAGGGAGATACTCTTTTTCTCTCTCTCTCCTATCACCACCTTACCTTGAAGGTAGGTTCAGCCAAGCCTTGAACTGGACAACATCGGGGAGACACAAATTCTGAGAACCTAATCTTTCTAGCCAGAGGAACCAGGAAAAGGATCAAAAGGAGCCAGCAAACACAGAAAAACCTCTCAGGCCTCAACACTAGTCTATATGATAAAAATTAAAGACTTGAGCTGGCGATTTAGCTCAGTGGTTCCAGCGCCTGCCTCGAAAGCACAAGGTCACAAGTTCGATTTCCGGTACCAAAAAAAAAAAAAAAAATTAAAGACTTAAAAGGGCATGCCCGCACTCTGGGAGCCTAAGGGAAGAGAGGAAGATGACAAATTCAAGCCCAGCCTGTTCAGCAACTTAGTGAGACCCTGTCTTTAAATAAAAAATAAAAAAGGAGTTGGGTATGTAACTCTGTGTGAAGGCCCTGGGTTCAATCCTTAGTACTGCAAAAACAAAAACAAACAACAAAGACAGCAAAAACCGCTATTGTCTCACTTCCCCCACCTTACCCTAACCCCACAAAGAGATTTAAAGAAACACTAGCATAGTATCTAACAGTTCAAGATCAAATTTTAGGATGATGATTCTAGCCCCCTCAAAGTTCCTTGCCTGAGAAAAATCAATATTATGGTGTCACATGCCTGTAATCCCAGCACTTGGGGAGGCTGAGGCAGGAGGATTACAAATTCAAACTCACCCTGAGCATCTCAGTAATTTAGAGACCCTGTCTCAAAATAAATAAAAATTAAGAAATGAGTTGGGTATGCAGCTCAGTGCACAGGTTCTGGGTTCAAGGTACAGTCCCACAAAAATAATAGTAAGTTTGTTCCCTCCAGGTAAATGCCAATTCAAAAACTCTAGTCTGTGAATTTGTGACCTAGTCACACTGACCAACCTTCCATAATAGCATTCAATGCCTTTATCATAGCAACCATTTTTAAAAAATTGATCTTTTGTTTTGGCAAA